CGGTGGAGTAATTGAAGCAGGCTTTAAGAGGTCACCATTGCAGTTTCCTCACTATGTACTTTAGCCTTGGTTTGATCCAAACCACTCTGCGTTCCAGGGGAGTGCAGAGGGATGACCCTGGGGGAGACTGCCTGTTCAGAACAATATTTACTTAATTCCTGAATCGTGTGCATCAACGTGTTCTTGTCTGTACAAAAAGTGAAACAGAAAGCCTGATTTCCCATTTTTTCTTGATACCATCCCAACCCCAACCTTGTGTGCAAAATTAGCGAAGGAAGATGTACTGAGACATCTTTTTGCTGTGGTAGAGACTGTAGATGGGGGTCATGTGTGCTATGCCCTTTGCTTTCCTTCAGAAGGAAGGTGGAGTCGTAGGCGCTGGTAAAGGATGAGAATACATTCGTTGGTGGAAGACCCAAAATTGTGCGAGCTCCTCTGCAGTGGAGCCTGGCTCTTTCACTGTTGTTTGAATAACTTTGGTGAACTTAGTGTTTAGGCAGAACACTGCGTATATTTTTTTTGTTGTTGTTGTTCTTCATACGAAACAGTCTGAAGGTTTCCTGGTTTTGTTCAACTGGGCTTTTGCATACTTTCCCGACTTTCAAAATTTCAGTGAAAGGTGGAAATGGTGATGCACGTAATACTACCTGAAGCAGAGAGACAGCAGATAAATATTGTACCCTCCTGTGGTATCATGGTGCATTATAGCACTGAGCAATAATGTTGTAGGTGTAAGGCTCTCGAAGGCAGGGGGGTCCATGAGTGCTGGTCGCTCTTTAAACGACGCTTCCTCCATGCTCAGGAGCAATGCATCCCCCTGAGAAAGAAATCGAGCAAAGGAGGCAGGAGACCTGCATGGTTAAACAAGGAGCTTCTAGCGGAGATCAGGTGGAAGAGAAAGGTCCATGGAATGTGGAAAGAGGGGCAGGCCACTTGGGAAGAGTACAGGAACGTGGTCAGAGCGTGCAGGGATGCGAAGAGGAAGGCCAAGGCCCACCTGGAATTGAATCTGGCAAGGGATGTCAAAAACAACAAGAAGGGCTTCTTCAACTACATCAGCAGCAAAAGGAAGGCTAGGGACAATGTGGGGCCGCTGCTGAATGAGGCGGGTGTCCTGGTGACGGAGGATGCGGAGAAGGCAGAGCTAATGAATGCCTTCTTTGCTTCAGTCTTCAGTGCTAAGACCGGCCCTCAGGAATCCCAGGCCCCGGAGGTAAGAGAAGAAGCCTACAAAGAGGACGACTTTCCCTTGGTCGAGGAGGACTGTGTGAGGGATCGCTTAAGCGATCTGGATGTCCACAAATCCATGGGCCCCGATGGAATGCACCCACGAGTGCTGAGGGAGCTGGCGGATGTCATTGCTGAGCCACTCTCCATCATCTTTGAGAGGTCCTGGAGGACAGGAGAGGTGCCCGAGGACTGGAGAAAGGCCAATGTCACTCCAATCTTCAAAAAGGGCAAGAAGGAGGACCCAGGGAACTACAGGCCACTAAGCCTCACCTCCGTCCCGGGAAAGGTGATGGAGCAGCTTATCCTGGAGGCCATCATCAAGCAAGTGGAAGAAAAGAAGGTTATCAGGAGTAGTCAGCATGGATTCACCAAGGGGAAATCATGCCTGACCAATCTGATAGCTTTCTACGATGACATGACTGGCTGGGTAGACGAAGGGAGAGCTGTGGATGTTATCTACCTTGACTTCAGCAAGGCTTTCGACACAGTCTCCCATGATATCCTCCTAGGGAAGCTGAGGAAGTGTGGGCTGGATGAGTGGTCAGTGAAGTGGATAGAGAACTGGCTGAATGGCAGAACTCAGAGGGTTGTCATCAGCGGCGCTGAGTCTAGTTGGAGGCTGGTGACAAGTGGTGTCCCTCAGGGGTCAGTACTGGGCCCAGTCTTGTTTAACTTCTTCATCAACGACCTGGATGAAGAGTTAGAATGTACCCTCAGCAAGTTTGCTGACGACACCAAACTGGGAGGTGTGGTAGATACACCAGAAGGCTGTGCTGCCATTCAGCGTGACCTGGATAGGCTGGAAAGCTGGGCAGAGAGGAACCTGATGAGGTTCAACAAGGGCAAGTGCAGGGTCCTGCACCTGGGGAGGAACAACCTCATGCACCAGTACAGGCTTGGGGTGGACCTGCTGGAGAGCAGAGAGGGACCTGGGTGTCCTGGTGGACGACAGGTTAACTATGAGCCAGCAGTGTGCCCTGGCTGCCAAGAAGGCCAATGGGATCCTGGGGTGCATCAAGAAGAGTGTGGCCAGCAGGACAAGGGAGGTTCTCCTTCCCCTCTACACTGCCCTGGTGAGGCCTCATCTGGAGTACTGTGTCCAGTTCTGGGCTCCCCAGTTCAAGAAGGATGAAGAGCTACTGGAGAGAGTCCAGCGGAGGGCTACAAGGATGGTGAGGGGACTGGAGCATCTCCACTACGAGGAGAGGTTGAGGGAACTGGGCTTGTTCAGCCTGAAGAAGAGAAGGCTGCGAGGGGACAGCAGGAGGGTTGGACTAGGTGACCCACAGAAGTCCCTTCCAACCCCTACCATTCTGTGATTCTGTGAATCTGTGATTCTGTGTAGTTCAGTACTGTTTAAAGGCATATGTTTTTCTCCTTACCTGAGTAATATCGTTTTAAAGGTTATATTTGAGTTGGCTTCTAAAATTAGTTTCAGCGTGTATTATTTATTATTTGAGGATGGGACAGGAAGGAAGTTATTTTATTTCATCGCACATAGGACAGATGTTTGCTCTGTACTGATTAAGACTAATTTTCAGTAAGATATGATGACAATGGCAGCAGCATATAGCCTAGCTGAATAGGCAGCTAAGAGGTAAGTAATGAAGGTTTATGTTTATGTGTTTCTGAGATAGCTACTGTCTGAAGTAACAGTCTAATGTGAGATGGTAGAAGCAAATTATTTTCTGAAACTTCGCCAATCAGAGATTTTTAATGTATTTGATAATTTTAATGGTTAAGATGCATCTTTAAGTTGTTTGAATGTTGCATGTTCAAATGTGATTACTTGCAGTTTTATCTTGTAGTACAGTAGTGCATGAAGTAAAATTTTCTGTTAAATGTTTATTGGAAATATAAGCAGGTTTGTATTTGAACTTTACTTATTTCAGAAATGAACCTCTGGATGGTACGTGGGGGACCGGGCTGCACGACTGCTGTTAACGCTCCCGAGAATTTGTGGTTTATTTCTTAAAGTTCAAGTTAACAATTTTACTGCTAAAAAATGAATTTTCCTTGAGGTGTGCTGTAACATAGCTAATAGCAGAATGTGAAAAAGATTTTAGTTTGGTTTAAGAGAAAACATTTGAATCCATATTAGTTTATTGGAAGATTGGTTATAAGAAGCAGCTGATACTCCTGTTTTGTTTGTTGACAGCTGAAAGGAGTGAATCCTTTAATCAGGTCTATAGTAAGTACTTATATATAATGTCATAGTTGCCTAACGTGATTTTGATCTTTTCCTAAAAATAAAGTACAACACAGATCTGTATAGCACTATTCTTGCTTTGACTTGTGAATTGTATCAACTCCAAGTTGTTTTGGGCACTGAATTTCCCTAGGTTTGCTGGATTGTAGAAAATCATTCCATTTATAGGAGAACAACAGAAGAGAAACAAGTTGATTCTTATCTTGATATGAGTAGATTTGGCCTTTGTTCTGTGGAAACTATAGCTCCAGATCAGTCCCTGGTAATACAAAATTATGATTTCATCCCCTTGCTCATGCAAACAGCGATTTGTCTACAACAGCCATTTTGGTATGTTTATCTGATGAGTAGAAAGAAAAGAGAATTTACCTAAAAGTTGCACAGAACCAGTGAGAACGCACAGAATATTTTCCTTCTTGTCAGCTGTTTGACAGCTAGGCTTGTATTTGTATAATTATGACAGCTTTTAATCTGTTTTTAAGCTTTTTGATTATTTTACCATTCTTTCATGCTGTTTCTAACCAGATCTCTCAAACAGTGCTGAAAGAAGCCTGTTTATAAGTGGATCATTTTTCTTGGGAAGTCATTATTCTAGTTCTGATTTTGCTACCTATATGATATGCTGGGCAGTCATTTTTAAGACATCAAACATGGGAGAATCTAAACTGTTGCAGTCGTGTTTGAAGATGCTTTGCCTTTCAGTGGACATTTATGTAAAAGCCGTGAAACAGGCTTCACTGCTACTTTTTGGTCACTTTTAATACATTTTCAGAACTAAGGAGTAGTAGTGCTTCACTGCCCACAAACTGCTATTTCCTACTTTTTTGTCTGTGTCAGTCTTCTTTTTACGGTGATGTACTTGCATATAAATATTTGGTGTGCAACAGGGATTTATTTGGTGTTAATGGAAGCTTTTCTGTGGCATAATCAGACACTAAAGGAACATGAAAATCTCAAACAGTTTATCCTTGTCTTGCTGAGCCAAAATATAACTACAGTTTTTTCTACAGAGTAGTTAAACCTTTTTCGTGATGGATTTCTAAAATCAATCTAAAACGTGTGTCGCTGTAGGTTCTTTCATGAGCTATGGAAGTCATGGATTATAAAACAAGTTAATGAAGTGAGGGTGGTTTGTTCCACATAGTGGCTTTGTGCAGTTGTTTTTACCAGGTTGTCTGATGTACCAGTACATAAGTCCACAGTATGTGCTTAAAAAAACCCTAATGTAGCTTTAGAAACACAGCAACTACTAGAGATTTTAGTAATCTTTCTGCACAAGATGTTGCAGCTCTTCACTTACAAGGGCTTTTTTTTTTATTATAATTAGTTGCTCTTCACATTTATTTCAGGATTACATTTGGTTTAAACTGTCAAAGCCGAGGTCCTCCTTAAAGCCAGTAGTACGATGGTGAGCTGTAAGGGTGTTTTGACTTACGGATATATAATGACTTACCGAAAGGTAGCTTGCTTTTGCAATTATTTTATACTGAATGGAGATGGCTTTAAGCTTTACAGCAGTGTAGAAAAACTTGAATTTCACTGCCCTGTTCATGAACAATGTACTTGCTTTTGGGACAGCAAAGTTGAATCTTGTGGCAGCAGCACACTGTGGTTTGTGAAGGGAGAGATGGAGGAAAGGAGAGAAGAGAGTGGAGCTGTCAGCAGGGATGTTTGGAAGCAGACATGGTGGGAGGCTCTTTTTTCTTCACTCCATTACTCCACCTCTTCAGAGCTTTAGACCTCTGCAGAAAGTATCTTGTAAAGAACTTTCTGGTTGTTCTCAGTTCTCCTCTTGCCTGTTGAGTGCTCCTTCCTCCAGGAAGCAAATCTTTCTGTTTGTGAACCTATAGTCATTTACAGCTGAACCCCAACCTCTGGGAGGGGAGAGCTCTGTTGATACAGAGGATTCAAGGGAGGGGAGGGTTTTGCATGGCTGTTGAGTACTTGTTGTAAGTGCCTAATTTGCTTGCATTTTAGACTGGCTCTGGAATGAGTTCTCATTTTGACCCAAGAGCTTTTAAGAGTTTGGGCTAGGAGATTGACTGCCAGCAATCTGTTTAATTTTTCCATGTGTATTTCCATGAAATGGCTTTTGTGAAGGAAATTAATGTGATTAATTATTCCATATTACTTAAGACCTGTAGTTGGTTATAATGGAAATTCTTACATAGATCACCTTTCCCGATGTTTTTCTGCAGTATTTGTTATGTTCTCTTTTTCTTATTCCACTCTACACACATCAGTTCTTTCATTTATCATCTGTATCACTGCAACACTTTGACAGAGATACTGTGATTAAGTTGTTAGTTCTGGTCCCTACACATTGCTCTCGGTTTCAGGAAGGAAGCTGTTCATTATGGGCTTCCAGAATAGGAGGGACACCATTTGAACTTGCATCAATGTCACTGCTTGACCCCTGTAAGATCTGAAGCTTCATTAGCTGCTTTTAATTATACTATTGATGAATTACCATCTTCCTGAACTGTATGTATCACCTGATCTAAAATTCTGATGGGGATCCAGGCTGATTTGTCTTTCTGGGTTTTAATTCTGTGGTTTAGAGTTGTTTGTATGAATGACTGTTTAAATACAGAAAAAAATGCTATTGAGTTGCAATGGTGTAATTGTCTGTTTAAATGTCACAGGTAGAGGAGGATGATGATGCTGAATCGCGAGAGGAAGAAGAGAAGGAAGAACTGAAAAACTATTCAAGAAGAAAGATTTTTTCCAACTGGAGCCGCTATGTGGATACAGAAAAAGAGGGACAGAGTGAACATGGGGAATTACAGAGAGGAACAGACTTCAGTGTTTTGCTTAGCTCAGCAGGTAAGCATTTTCTGTTCTGTAGATAGTTTTTTAGTTTTGAATTTTGACACATTACTACTTCTCTGTCTGTTGTCCTTGATGAGAAAACAGGACCCTAGAATACCATTCCTGTCTGCCATTGATATATTTAGTGGTTTTTGAAGTCTCCATGGGAGCAGCCTTACAGCATACAGGCTGCACTGAGCCGTGGAAGGAGGGCTGCTGCATTTATAGCCTTCTCATGAAACTGTGTATGGGTCTGAGTGTGTGCAGCATCCAGGTGCTTTGAGCCTCTTCTTGCTGACAATGATTTCTTACCAATCTTGGTCACTGGGTTGCTTTCCAGAAAACAAAAAAGGTTGCTCCTGTGACTAAACACAGCAAAACAGTCAAGAAGCTGCTTGCTGTTTGTTTTGACAAAGATTTGTAATCAGTATTGCACAGATGTATGCATGAATAGCAAGTGTTACTCTACTTGAAAAAAAAGATCAGTTGTGTTCCCCTCTTTGTAGGAAATGATAGAAGGAGAAGGTGGGGCAACAGGCTGTACTAGATCCCCCCCCCTTTTTTTTTAGCTGTACATTATTAGTATGGGCAGTTGCACAAAAAACAGTTACCTAAAACTCCTGATGTGCCATTGTGTTGGAATACCGTTCAGTAAAAAGCTGCAGGTAATGTATTATGGGTTTTTTTTGAGCAACTTGGAAGCTCTGAAATCTCTCCAATCTAAATAATTGGATTTTTAAGGCACAGCTTGGAGGGGTAAGTTAGAAATTACCTATGGTAAAGAAAGAAGCACCAGAGCTTTCTTTCTCTGTTCCAGAATCGACTTCTGAAGTTCAGTTTTGCATGAACGTTGCAGAATTGGGCCTAAATTGTCAGTTTTAATCATAGGATCGCAAGATGTGTATTGAGTTCTCTGAATGGTATGTTGCATGGTAACAGTGTTGGAGTGAAGATGCCTGGTATGGACCTCAGAACTGGGCAGGTGACATAGCCTGGGGAGCAAAGCAGATATCACAACTGAAAACTCAAGAGACCTACCCTGAGCTGCATGTTGCTATGGTTCAGCTTTTTTTAAAACAAACTTTAATATCTCTAACTTAGCCTTCAGAATCTCTTTAAAATGATCTGATGAATAGTACTTTTGTATTGAGAATATAGGGAAATACTATATATTTCTACTGATTTGTGTTTGTGGAAAGTTATACAGTTATTACCAACCCATTTATTTTGCTTTGTAGATCCTCTTAATGCCTAAAATTAAAATCTTTTTTAGTTAGTGTTCTTACTAGTTATTAATTCTAAATCTTCATTTAAAGAGTGCTTCGCTTTATTTTAGGATATACTGTGACTGTTCTTGATGTTAAAATAAATTGTTAAAGAAACAGCAATGAAATAAAGTACTTTCAGAGGAAGAAAAAAGTGCCTTTGAAACAATAATGCACATTTGTTGGAGTCATAAAAAGCAGTGTGTGTTGAGAGGGTTTCTTTGTATGGTTTCTTTGGCTTATGTGCGAAAACTGAGAATGCAGTCATCTTTATTTCTAGTGGTCTGAGAAGAAACTTACGTCTCTGCTTTATTTGATAATTTTGACTTCAGTTAGTATATTGCTGTTTAGCATTCCAAAGTTGTACAGTGGATCCAGCTGAATTGCAACAAGCAGTTAGGGGAGTACTGGAGAGGGAATGGAGTTAAGGTGCCATTTTTCAAGAATGCAAAAGCTTAGAAAGGTCCTGCAACTTACTATTAATACACAACAATGTAATTAATGCAGCCAGTTAAGAATCCTTTGGCAAAAGCTCAGCTTAAAAAACTGTTGTCCTATGTAACATTTTGGTTCCATAATATTGAAAGCAAGGTCTTAAAGAGAGTGCCATCCTTCAAGATACATCTTTGATTTATTCCCAGAAAAATCTCCTGTTAATTGAATGAGATGGAGTATAAAAAATAGTTTGGGATAATGTAGTAATAGAGACAGAATTAATGCTAGCAGACAAACTGAAGTGGAGGAATTCTTGACATCCAGGGAATTAAAATTCCATGTTTGGTATTTGTTTAATATTTCATAAATGTGCTTCTACGTGTAATTTCTAGTTAAAATCAACAAAAAATAGCCAAATGAGAAGACTAATATGCTGTGACATGGGTGTCATGTTGTTGATAACTAGCAGGATTGGAGATTTTAAACCTAGTACATGAACATTAGTGTTGCTTAAGAAAGTAACAGAGTCATGGGTTTTTAGACTATTTTTATCAGTAGCAGAGGGAAGTGGGATATTTTTTCTGAGAGGGGGAGGAAGGGGTTTGTAGACATTTGCAGAGTATGGTAAGTCTATTTTACTATTCTATTTTACTTTTTTCAATACCTTCTGAAGACATGCACTTTTTTTACTTTTTTGCCTATACTTCCAGCTTGCCCCTGCCTCAAGCCAATCGCTTGTGCAGCACTGCTTCTGTCTTTTCAATCAAATATTTAGGCCTGCCTAGTCCCAGACCATCTCTGACTGCACCTTGTCTCTCTACTGTCAGCCTTTGCCTGCCTACTGAGTCTTCTCACTCTCTCTTGCCTCTGTTAATTTTTCTCCTTGTCTATGTTTCTGATCCCTGGTGGTGGGTCTTTTCTCAGTCTTCTTGTGAGCCAGCTCCCTTCCACATATATTCACTAAAATCCCCCCTGTCCCTCGCTCTATCTGGTCCTGGTGATCCCCAGTTCAGAGTTGTTCTGCCTGGGATTGCTCAGTTGGCTTCATATTTTCTCTCAGCCATGACAACATCTTCTTCTTATGTTCCTCTTAGTTTCTTTCCTTGTCTAGTCAATCCCAGTTCATTTTTCAGGCTTCCAGTTCTAGTCTCCACTACAAGCTGTTTGCTCCTTGTTGCCTGCATATGCTCTGTCAGTATACCCTAAATCCTACTCAGTTACCCAGCAATATGGAGTGGAAGGCCACTGTTTTCAACTATGGTAGGGATATTGGCACAGGTGAGGTTGCAGAAACACACAAGACGACACTTTTTGTTCAGTGTTGTACCTAATGCCTGTTGAATGCAGACTCCACTTATAGTGAAAATCGGACTCTTCACTCATAAACAGCAGCCAGAAGAAACTTAGTTGCCTTGCACATTTGGAGGATGAACAGAGGGTCACTGAGGATGCACTGTGTGGGCATTGGTCGTTAATCTCCAGCAGATCTTGCCAAAAAATACACACAAACTGATTTCTAGAAGCTTGTAGCTTGGATAAATTGGGTCAGATTTTTCCCAAAATGAGCAGAGTGTACCTCTCATACAAAAACATTGTCCAGCCTGATTTCAAGTTACTGAGTCGGGGCAGGAAAGTGATTACAGTTTTTCAAAGGGTTTTTTTCCCAGGTCCTTTCATGGTAGAAAAATGTTCCAGCCGTTCTCTGACTTTTTTTAAAAGGTGGTGGTGAGCAGAGGGTGAGGAAAAACTACCTGAAGTAGACAATTGACATGGAAAATTTCAGACTGAATAGTTAAAAAAAGCAACTGAAAATAGTCTTAAGAAAGAACTGCCAGGTGGCTTTGATAACAGCTGATGTCACTCGCCTGACAGAACTTCTTTGTTAGAGCTTATTGTATTTGTGTGTAAAGTAGGGTGATAACTTTAGTTTTTAAGTCTGTTTCTTTCCTTTTTTAATCATTTTTTTAAATTAGCCTTGCATATAGCAAAGTAAACTTTTCTGTATTGCTTTGGATGTCTAGCTGATGTAAACTGTAAGTCCATCGTGAAACCTTCAGGGAATATGCCTTGACTCAATTTAGTAAAAATGCTGTTGAAGCGTGAAGAGCAAGAGAAGTGGAAGTGATAGGATAACCTCACTTTGCAAGAGCTGTCCTCATTTTTTGACTGATGAGGGTTAAGTGTCCCAAAATAGATTTAAGTCCTTCATTAGGGTTTTGGCTGTGAATAGATGCTATAGGTTTAGAAATATACTTGTAAAGTCTCATTACAGAGGTGATCAAAACGTATCCAGGGAGCTGATTGCTTTCCTTTGAATGTGGTAGGTATGACCAGTACAGCAGCCAAAAGCTGCGAACATGCAGGCCTCAATAACAGTGTGCTGAGTTGCTGGATGTGATGATTATCAAGATGAAAAAATATAGTTTTGAACATTAATTTTTTTCCCAGTTTGTTTTTTTGGCCATAGCTGAATAATTCTGATGGCCTTAAAGGGTAAGAAAGAGAAATGCTGCGTAGTTCAAACAAAACTGGAAGGATGGTTTTGATATTGTATGAATAAATATAATTCCTGTAGGTACCTAGCACTTGAGTGCATTAGGAAATGTGGAATAAAAATCAAAAGAACAGTCACTGGAGCGTAATAGTAATGAACAGTTAAGGATAGGAATTGTGAGGTAGCAGTTACTTTCCATTCCCTAAAACCCTGTTGTTTTGGTTTTTTAACTTCTAGCTTTTGGGCCTCTCTGTTTAATTGTGATGTGTCTGTTGCAATATATTGCTGCATTTTTGTCATTTTCATGGTCAATACATACATGAGAATGAACAGCATAGAGAAGACCACTAGCTGTCTTGGAAAAGCTGAACAGATAAACTTGTGGAGCAAGGCTTGTGTTAAAAATAGATTTTCCTTCAACTTTTCTATCTTAAGTATATACTGACAGAGATTTGGAAAAAAAAAGTGAAGAGTAAATGAGTTTTCTTATTTTCAATGTTAATTCTGCTCAAACAAAAAGAATGGCAATGGCAGGGTGTGGTGCGGATGATAAAAAATCCTTTGATTTTAAAATTCTAGAGAATAGCTGAAAATCAGTTTTCTTTACAGAACTGCCTAACTCGTTGTTGATTTGGGTTACTGTGTATGTCAGACAGGTCCCGCTCTCCAGTGGTATTTGATTGCCAGCTTCTACTACTTTTCGTTTTGTATGTCTGTTCTGTAAAATTATTTACATCCATATGTCTCCATAGAACTCTATTTCTGCATTTCTGTTTCTTGTACCCTTGAGATAGCGAGACTAATGAAGAATTGCTGTTTAT